CTCCTAATGTTGGCAGAAAAAACAGCAGACCTGAAAACCAGGCAAAGGCGTGGTGGATTAGTTAAACATTTAAAATTGCACTTTCATCATTTGGCTTATTGAAGAAAAAAAAATTCTTCTCTTCTAGCGACAGTAGCGCTGCGCAGCGGCCGGCAGCCGAGACAGGAGCCCTGGCCGGGTGACACGCCCGCCTATCCCGGACCCCCGAAGCCGTTGCTCCGTCCAAATATGTTACTCCGTGGTCTTTCTCACTGCGAAACTTTGCAGGACGAGTTCCGCAACTCTAAATCTAAAAATACCGCACTTGGTTTGACCATCTGTTATTTGAATCACTGTTGCGAAGGTATCAAAATCGTGAGGTAAGCCGTTCGCACTTTACTTGAACCCTAGTTCTACGCAAGCGCCACCTAGAGGCGACTGGCCACACCGCACCACGGCGCCGAACTGCTGCCAACTGTTGAACTTTTAATTAAAACGAATTACGAAATATTTCAAACGCAATATCCTGCTTTAGTGATAAAACACACTCATAATTCGTACATCCCAATACATATTCACTTTTACCCGCGCGAAAGGATCAGTAGTCATAGTGTGCTTGAAACTACAGAAGCATATTTGCAGTCGGTAACCACAGTTAGCAGTGCAATATAAGAGTTTTTGAATTAAACTAGCTATATGTACGCCAGACCACGTCTCGCGTAACAGGCTTCGTGATATCTCACGGAACACTGTTACGCTGCGACGCGCCTGGCATACATCTACCTAGGCCTGCGGCGCAGACACCCGAGTCGGGAAGCGCAAAAATGTACACGAAGATGCGGCGAGCCTTCGGCCTGTCAACTTCTCTTCACTTCGACTAAGAATGGAGGGCTGTACATTTTTTCTCTTTTTTTCGTCCAAAGAGCTCTACTATGATGAGGTACCCCTTAGGAAACTGTAAAAGAAATATTTTTAAAAACATTATGTGTGGGACCTATGGTTTTTAATTTTTTTTTAAATGCAATTTTTGAGCAACATTGCTCTTCTCCGAACTTGATCTGTCTTTTTATGATACAAAACGACCCTGAAAATCCCAGGTCGTTAGCTCAATTCGTTCTCGAGTTATCGTGACGACAGACAAACACACACACAGACAGACGCGAAACTTTTTGATCACTGGAGTAATAGGCGTCGCTAATCGCTCAGCCAATAAATGTACACTGTCCTTTCTTTACTCGCACTTTTTAACTTTAGACCCGTGTAAGTTTTATTTGTTATAAAGTAATTCAAACTGCAGATCCTTTCGCGCGGGCAACGATACTCTCTGCAGCAAAAGAGGGTGTGGTTGTTTCTCACAGACAGACTCACGACCAACACTTTGCCAGGTTCACCACAGAGCTCGGTCCACTGTTCCGGAGAGCTTCGCTTCGCTCAGGATATATGGTTTCCCTCGTATTTTCCTCAAATATGGGAGTTCCTCATAGTTTTCCCTTTGTCCTCAAAAAATGAATCATGGTTTTTTGTCGTGAACTCCTTGCAAGTGTTGATACGACTTTCACTAGAACGTGGCCATTTTTGTCTGAGCGATTAGCGGAGCCTTTTAATCTAGTGATGATCGAAAAGTCTCGTGTCTCTTTGTCTGTCTGTACGCACGATAACTCAAAAACGGGTTGAGCTAGAAGGAAGGAAGAACTGTACTGATTTTAGGTCCTTTAGCTCAAAAGTTGACCAGTCAAAGACATCAAAATCAAAAAGCAAGATAAACTTATTTTGAAAAATTTTGTTCTTTAAATAAGTCGTTTAAGTAGTAGCAAATTTTCGTCCGTTTAGCTCTATTTTTAACCGTTTAGACGCCAGAGGGTTTTTTTTACACGGAAAATGCCCCCAAAACATTTTAATGTTTTTTTTCTCACATATTTGATGGTCTCTAGTCGGGTCACTCGTCAAAATAAAACCCTGAGAAGAAAAATTTGACACTTTGGGGGCCGAAGGCCAGGTTAACTTGCACGAACAAATTAAAGATAGCAGTAGCACGACGATCAGAATGTCACGCCTCCTTTGCCATACTCGTGCCTAGTGCGTCAAAGACAGAAAATCCCCGGAAAGAACATTTGTTCAAGAACGTGGACTATAAAATGGCCATGGTTGGCGGCATGGCGTCGATTCAATATGTCACTCTGGTCCGTGCTCCTTGTCCTAGTGGCCAGCCTGGCCACCCTAAGTTTGGCTGCCGACAGTGACTACTGTAAACTCTGCAAGCAGAACCCGAGGTATGCTACGCTCTGCATGACAAGAAACCATTTTGTTGTTGCTTAAACGTCGCTCTGTGCACATGCTGACAGGAAACAAATGTGGTCCTCAGAGCGGAATAGTTGGGAACTTGTGGTTTAATGGCTGTGCGATAGCTTAGTCTCTTCCTCCGTCTGACCGAAAAAAAGAAACCTTTTTCAGAGCATACCTGTATTGTCAGGAGAATACTACCACGCAAAGGCAAATTGATATACCGATATGAAGGAAAATTCCAGTACATGTACATGTGAAAAGCGTTGGAGACACATGTATACGAAAACTGCCATAGAAATGTTTCACACCTGAAATCGTTTCTTGGAACAGGAATGTTTTTAGCAGATGATACCTTAAAAACCTTTGGACTAAACGTAAAGAATAGATAAGTAAATTTAAGGTGTCAGCTAGCTTTTACTCTCGAAACGGCAAGGGAATCAAGCGGAGACCAGAAAACAATTTCTTTAGCGCTGGCGGAACCGTGTCCGGGTGGGTGCCTGAGTGAGTGTCGCTTCAGGCCCCTACCCTTACCCTGCTTAACAATACTAGGCTCCCCGTCCCCCTCCTGCACAACAATACTATCCGACGCCGGCCCCTGTTCCCGCGCTTTTCATCGCCGTTTGTTCGCTGAAATTGCAAATAACAAGAAACCAGAAACAAATGACAGCTAAATCCGGGAGTAAATTTGAAAACAGACATATTCTTACATTTGTATCATCTGCTTTCAAGATAGATTCTTAATTTAGATTTTTTTTTCTTTTTTTTTATCTACATGATCAGTTTGTACCTAAAATGGCCAACATGACCAAGCTCATATTTGCATCCGATTAAGTGAAGAATAATCCTGCATGACTTATACTTGATTCAACGCCAAAACAAACTTGTTCAAAGAAAACATTCACTTTTAAACAAGATTTTTTTCTTGAAAACGCAAACGACAACAAGGCGACATCGCACTTGGCCGCTTTGGCAGAAATTATACTTGGAAATTCGCATTGACACAGATGTTCTTGTAATAAGAACATCCGACTTGGGTCGTTGTTAGTATAAAAACAATCTTCGGTATGTGCCGAAAATTCCGAAAAAATTGAAGGCGATTTTTGGCAGGCCTCACTTTATAAGTGTTTGGGTAGGATCTTACTGAATTGGTCGCTGAACGCTTCTAGTTCATATTTAAACTGTTTGGCACGCCTTGTTAGCGTTTGGCATGGCATTGGTAGCATCCAAATAAACATTTGTTTAAATATCGCGGTATACTGCGCAATGGGAATGGGGTCTTACCACACATAATAGGGTCATAAATTCTCTAAGTTACTGCGCATCTTTTGCACCAATGAAATCTTCTTTATTCAAATAAGGGAGAGCTGAGTGAGCAGAGAAAATATGTCGTAAGTAAAATTATGGGATCTTTAGTCAATAAAAGTGACATGTGTATATTTGCGCTACTATTTTAGACAGGGTTTTGTCGCAATTACAGTTGCGACACTGTGGCAGATTTAATTTTGCCCAAGTTTTGACTTTCGTCAGTTGCTTTGATTAGCATGAGTACTTTGACCACTGCTTCTCAAACCACCAAAGTTATCTCTTGATGTTTGGGTATTAGCTAAGGGGGCAGAGGGGAAGACCTTTGTAATGTAAGGGTTTGCAAGAATCGTCACTACACTAGCTATATGTACGCCAGACCACGTCTCGCGTAACAGGCTTCGCGATATCTCACGAAACACTGTTACGCTGCGACGCGCCTGGCGCACATATAGCTAGGCCTGCGGCGCTGACACCCAAGACGGGGTAATAGGAGTGTATATACAATTTTTCGAAATAAGGTCTTTTAAATGATTAAATCGACCATTTGATCATTTTCGGCTCATTTTTGTCAAGAAATGCCACCTAGCACCTTTAACGGTACAAGATAGAGCCAAACGGACGAAATTTTTGCCCAGGGGGCTCTACTTTGACGAGTTACCCCCTAAGAACCTAAACAAATTATTTGATAAAAAAACATTTTGCGACCTGTGGTTTTTAATTTTTTTAAAAGCCAATTTTTGAGCTACAATGCTCATTTTCGAACTCGATCTGTCTTTTAATAGTACAAAACGACCCTTAAATTCCCAGATCGCTATCTCAATTCCTTCTCGAGTTATCGTGCGGACAGACAGACAGACAGACAGACAAACAAACAAACAAACAGAATGAAACTTTTCGGGTCAGTGGAGTTATGGGCTTCGCTAATCGCTCAGCCAACTACACGCCGCATCGATTTAGGATTTAAGATGTACTAGCTATATGTACGCCAGACCACGTCTCGCGTAACAGGCTTCGCGATATCTCACGAAACACTGTTACGCTGCGACGCGCCTGGCGCACAGATAGCTAGGCCTGCGGCGCTGACACCCGAGACGGGGTAATAGGAGTGTGCATACAATTTTTTCGAAATGAAGTCTTTTTAACGATTTAATCGACCATTTGATCATTTTTACCTCATTTTTGTCAAGAAATGCCCCATAGCGCAGAAACGGTACACGATAGAGCAAAACGGACGAAATTTTCGGCCATAGGCCTCTACTTTGACGAGTTACCCCATAGGAACCCATAAAAAAATATTTGAAAAAATACATTTTGCGACCTGTGGTTTTTGATTTTTTTAAAAGTCAATTTTTGAGCTAGAATGCTCATCTTCGAGCTCGATCTGTCTTTTTATGATACAAAACGACCCTAAAATTCCCAGATCGCTATCTCAATTCATTCTCGAGTTATCGTGCGGACAGACAGACAAACAAACACACACACAAACAGAATGAAACTTTTCGGGTCAGTGGAGTAATGGGCTTCGCTAATCGCTCAGCCAATTAAGAGCATAGAGACGCTTATTTTGCCGTTGTTCCCGGTGCACACACTCTTCAGAAACATGCCGATCCTCGCTTTCAGCTGGAGCGATCAGTCCCTTTCGGTGGGCACCATTGTAGCGCAACGGATGAGTCCGGGACGGTAAAAAAAAATTGCTAGTTTCTATTGAAAAATGCCGGTAATGGTTGACCTGGGATTTTTGCAAATTTCGAAATGAACGTGAGGAAGGGTGGGGCAGTGAGTAACGGATTTTGGAATTTGGCTAAAAAAGTCAAACTATGTAAAAATCTGTGGTAAATCGGACGCAAAAGGATAGATTGGACCTTTACCAAGCCTAAAATTTGATCGGATTTAATACTCGGCGCATTCAAGTATGACCTAGAGCATGTTGAACAAAGACCTGCATTTGTTAGACACAGGGAAGAGTTGAATTCTGGAGACAGCTAGAAAGGAAGAAAACAGCTTTCCCTTCCTTTCTATAATAACTACTAATTCCCACAACAGTTTTTCTCAACAAATTTAATTGTTTTACATGGAATTTTCTTCAAATTTACAAGGTTTTGATTTCGAATCCCTATGGGCAGGGTACCTATGGGAAGTTGTCCCTGCCCATGGACGTTGTGATCCCCATGAGCTGGATATGGGGACTTCTTATGTAAGAGGGGTGATGGGGCTGTACATGGGAAAAGTGCCTTTTCCCATAGGAAGGATGCATTCATGCCTATGGGCACCATGGAAATTTTACCCTGGGAGTGTACACATTTTATTAATGATGTGCCACCATAAAATAAGCCCACTCTTCTGCTTAGAGGAAAATTTTGAACCGACGTCATACTTCTCAGACAAAAGTGTACTCCTGAAAAAAAAAAGTATTTCTGTTTCGGCCATATTGGTAAGAAAAACCCCCTCTTGAAAGTGGAAGCCAAACGGACGACGTTTTAGACCAGAGGGTTCTTTCACGATTTTCCCCTTTGGAGACCATCAAATATGTTCTTAAATTAATATATTAATTTTTGGGCCACTTTTGTGAGTAAACCTCCCTCTAGCGCCTAAACGGTGACATAGAGCCGAACGGAAAACTTTTTTGCCCAAAACCTTCACTTTCACAAGTTACCCCATAGGAGACCATCAAATATTTTCCAGAGTTAATATATTTATTTTAGGGCCAGTTTTGTGAGTAAAACATCCTCTACCGCCTAAACGGTGCGAGATAGAGCCAAACGGTCGAAGGACTCTTCTTTGCCAAGTAACCCTTTAGGAGACCATAATATGACAAGAAAAACATTTTTGTCCTACTTCTTGGACCAGCCCCTATTTCTTTGTTCTCCCCACTCAGGGGTGGTTGCCAGGATTTGCACCAACCGTTTCGTTGTCGAGAAGTGACAACAATAATACCCTGAAAATTCCACACCCCTAGCTCACGTCCTTCTTGGGAAACGGACAGACACAGGGGCGATGGCATAAGCCCGCTTATATAGCTTTTAAGCAAAAGAGCGGGCTAAAAAAGGGGCTAGTAACCACACTTTTGACTTCAGTGGCAATGATCTTGGGTGCACCTGCACCACACGAAAAATGCTCTTGTTTTAAGTGCATGTGGTATTGCAACAAGAAAAACAAGAGCAAATTTTTAACATTTTGTTCTTACTTGATCCAAGAAACCGTTTTCCCGGGTGAACAGTGTTCCCGTAGTTCCCTCCGCTTTCTTGTTCGGCGCATTGTCCTGCATTTCAGCCTTATCCAAATGTTTCATTGCCATTAGAAGGGGAGTCTCTTACTGTACTCCACTAGTCGCAAAATTACATGTTAAGATGTCCCGTTGTACGTCACAGGTGCCTGTACAAGGAAAAGACCCCGGGCAAAGCATGCAAAAACTACAAGGGGCCCAACCTGTCGGCAAGTGACAAACAGCTCATCGTCCGTTTGCACAACGAGTACCGGAACAAGGTGGCGCTTGGGAAGGAGACGCGGGGCAAGAACGGCCACGCCCAGCCGTCCGCGTCCAATATGAGGAAACTGGTGCGGTGGACTCCTTTAGTTGTTAAAATTAAGTGACACACGTTCGACATTTCTTAGAAATTTGGCACAAATAACCACGATGTAGATTTGTATTTATTTCTTGTTTTGAGTGTGCTGCCAATTTTGAGTAATGTATGTCGTGTCTATTTCAGTCTTGGGACAACGAACTGGCAACAAATGCTCAGCGGGTCGCCGACCAGTGCGTTTTTGAGCACAGCACTTGCACGAACACAAGTATGTTTAATGTGCACAATGCACACCAAACCCTTTAGCACGATATATAGTTAATACGGTGCCAACTCTTCAGCATGGGGCTAAAAGACGACCGCGGAATGGTGGCAGGGTCGCAGTTCCAGACGAGGGGGTATTCACTTCGGATTTTCGTGTACAGACTACTCCGTATTACGGGTATTACGCGTATTACCGAGTATTACTGGGTATTACAGGGTATTACCAGGTATTACCGAGTATTACCAGGTATTACCAAGTATTACAGCGAATTACCAGGTATTACCAAGTATTACAGCGTATTACCTGGTATTACCAAGTATTACTGATAATCTGAAAAAGGTTTTTTCGAAAGCGTACATACATACATAATTGCTTATAATTTAAAGCAGTCGGTAATTTGACCTTAGCTCAGAATATTAGTTTGCCTTGCCTATATTTATTAAGTTAAAAGATCATCAATGATCACGTCCAGGTTTTTGGCTCATATTTCTTTTTAGCTTGACAACATTAGAGAGTGACTAGCTATTGCCAGCTCATTGACAGTTTGTGCCCCTGACAGCTGGTGCCCCACTCTCCCTTACACAGTTACGTTTTCAAAATAAGAATTGAGCCTTAACACCGGTGTAGAAAAGAACGACCTAGCCGCGAGCCTACACTGCGAAATTCTTACAAAGAATTTTAAAGCATTGTAAGGAAGTTTGCATTGCAAACTATTTTATTCGTAAGTTGCGAAGAAACGGTTCGCAAGGTTAGGAACTAATTCTTCGCAGCGTTATTAACTATTTTCTTCGTAAGGTGCAAATAATTAGTTTGCAATGCGAAGGATCTCAATGCAAAGCATTTTACAACGATTCGAATTTCTTTTCAAGCTTTTTACAGTGTAGCTGTAAAGGCTAATATCTTAGCTCTTTTTGCTTATAATTAGCTAATCGAGCTTATATTCTGACCTATTGCAAAATTAGCAAAAACATTCAGCTATTTTAGGTAATTCTTTGTGTGTATGTGTGTGTGTTTGTGTGTGTGTGTGTGCGTGTGTGTGTGTGTGTGTGTGTCAGAAAACCTGTCATCTTCGTAAAGTGCAACATCTTTCAGAATTGATTACATTTTGAAACTGTCACATTGGTAAACACATGATGTCACATTTGTTTCGACTCGAGTCAACCAGGCTTAGCTAAATGAAAGCACAAGAATTGAATGACAGTGATTATTCTTGATTGGTTTTGAACGAAACACGTTTTGTATCAACTACTACTTTCATCGATGTTTCGGCTTCATTTTGCTAATGTCCATTGGTCGCCCAGAAAGAAATCTATATGTCCCGTCTTATCATCTATTGCAGTTTTGTAGGACAACTGATTTTGTAACGTTCTGGCTAAGTGAGGTTCAGCAGTGGTACACATTATTGCAGGGTATTACAGGGTATTACAGCGTATTACCGGGTATTACTGCGTATTACCAGGTATTACTGCGTATTACAAGGTATTACCGGGTATTACTGAGTATTACAGGGTATTACAGTCATCGTGTACAGGGTATTACTGAAGTGAATACCCCCTCGGTTCCAGAAGAGCCGCCAGGGGTGCTGGCGTCGACTTATGCGGGACGAGGGGAGGTGGGAGGAAACGGGGAAACGAAACACCTGGTGCAAATCCTGGCAACCACCCCTAAGGGAGTGAAAGGGGGTAACAAAGAAATAGGGGTTGGTCCAAAAAGTAGGATTTTTTTTTTATGATCTTCTAAGGAAGCGGTCACTCGTGAAAGTAGAGCCAAACGGGCGAAAGTTTTGTCCGTTTCAGTCTATCTTGTACCGAAGTTAAACGAACTCGAAATTCTCGAAATTTGGTCTAAAAATCTTGAAACAAACATGAACAGCCTTATTTTCTCCAAACGAACCGAACCGAACAATGTAATGTTCAAATTCGACCCGATCACGAACAATTAATACAATATGTTTTTTGCTTAATAACTATCCACGCTGGTTCACATTAGCTACATTAACGTTTAAAACTGTACTTATATATTAACCTGCTATTGCCCCCTTAATTAATTACACCCAAATATGAGTCGTCTTTCGTAAACACACTTCAAATTTGTTCGCCTACGAACTTCTGTTCGAGTACACTCAGAAAAATAGTTTCTTGATTCAAATGCACGTGGCACAAGATGAAATTCACCATTGAAACAAGGCAAAATTGTGTTTGGAATAAGATTCTTCTCTTATTCGAAAGAAAATATCAGCTTGTTTCAAGGGTATGTTTGATCTTGTGTCAGCGTGCACTTGCAACAAGGAAAAATTTACTAGAAAGAAGAAACTATTTTTCTGGGTATACTCGAACATTTCGAATCCGCACACCTCGTGTTCGTGTTTAAACGGACGCGAACATCTCGATGTTTGTTCAAATTCGTTCGAATGCGAACATGTTCGCTCACTTTTTGTACGCTCTGATTTTTCTACTGGGTTGGTGTGCTTTTTCCAGTTGATGGAACGCCGGCGGGTGAGAATCTTCTGACAGGTGGATTTGCTGTCGGACAAACTGGTCCAGATTGGAATGCAACAGTCTACGCGTGGTACGAGGAGGTTGACCTGCGTGATGGTCGTCTTAATACCAAACCTTTTGTGTAAGTTTATTCAGTGGTTGTTCTTAATTTCTCAATGTTGATGCAAAATTTAAGAATACTGTGCTTGGTTTGAGAAAATTGTGCTTGAAAGAAGTATAATTTTCCTAAAACAAGCAATCTAAGAAGCAATAAGGTTGCACAAGTTCATGTGTGCGCTGCACATAGCACGCACAGTTAAAGTTCAAAGTTCCCGGAGCCAAACAAAAGTAACTGTTTTGGTCAGAAACTTTGTTTTCGAGACTTTTATCGATGCTGTTTTTTGGCAACATGTCTGTTAATGAATGGGGGTAACCAAAACAGAAGCTTCGCTGCGGCCGCGAGCGCGTTTCTCTGTTCTCCGGTGTTTTATCGAGTTTTTTATCGGGGGAAAATCCTTCCACAACGTTTTCCGACCCGCTGAGTCGATTGGACACACTATTTTGAATATTTATTCACACCCAGTCGGCTCGTCGGCCCTTCCGAGCTTCGGTTAGCTGAATTTCGCGATTACGGCAACAAGGTGTAAATAAATATTAGAAATAGTGTGTCCAATCGACTCAGTGACCCAGCTTTTATGGGGCTAACCATCTACTAAACCGAAGTATAACTTATGAGCATTTCGAGATCATCAAATTTACTTAACCCGAGGGGGTAATCACTAAGGACAGTAGGTGTACACATTTCTATAAAAGTTAAAGTGAAAGTGACAAAAAGTTGACTGATAGTGATGAAAACTGAAATAAAAAGTTGACAAAAGTGACTAATCGTGCGTTGATCAAATCAAGAATGAATAACATAGAGGGGACATAGGCATAGAAATGAAATAAACGTTGTAAATCGGTGGAAAAGTGACGGGAAAATTACGAAAAGTGAATGAATGTGGAAAAGTGAAAAGTTGAGGGGTACGCATTTTCACGTAGTGATTACTCCCTCGTTAACCCTAGAGAAGTTCTTTAATTTCACTAAAACCTCGGAGCGTGTAGTGTGCTCTTACCACCTTCTTCGCTCTACAGGGCTGACTCTACCTTCGAGGACGTAGGTCATTACACTCAAATGTGCTGGGGTGAGACGTACGGCATCGGCTGTGGCTACTCGATGTACACAGCCGGGTCAGGCAGCAAGATCGACACACACCTCGTAGTATGCCACTACAAGGCTCTAGGCAACAACGAGGGCCAGGCAATGTACAAGGCTGGCAAACCGGCTACGCAGTGTGCCTCGGGCACGAAAAGAGACTCGGCTTTCCTAGGATTGTGCGCGTAGGCATTCGCCTTATTAGTCTGGTGATGCTTGACCATGTAAACCATAAGAGTCGGTCGCAATAGGATGTTCTACTATGCATTAAATCTATAAGGGCAAAACGTTCCTTCAAAGAGTAATACTTTTCACACATTTTCCTGTGATAAAATGCCCTGTGTGATTCCCATTATTTGTCACTCCTGAGGGAGTGATGAGTCTTTATTACAAATTTTGTATTATACTTTTGGAAAACAATCTCATGATTCCATTCCGGATTTATTGCAAAACTGTGTGATGCACATTGAACAAAAGTATAAAACCTTAAGTGTCGCTAAATATGTGATGGTCATTACAAATACAAGCAATGGATGTAATGTTGTACTTTTTCTGTGATGACATCCCGTCCGTATGACACTCTCACACAAATACAGTGACGTGAATGCATTTACCCCCGTGTTCGTCGGAACCTTCTCTAACTGAACACTGTAAAAAATTCTATAGAAGATTTACAATAAATGTCTCTCACGCCGCTCACATATCACTAATGATTTGACGAAGGGGTTTAAGTTCCGCCCATAAGAACTAGTATGAACCTCTGTTGCCCTCAAGCAACAAAGACCATACAGGCATACCAGTCCGCGAATTGACTTCCCCCCCTACCTATAATTTTTTTGCTCCAGAGCAACAAACTTCTTTGGTGCTTCTCGCGGCCATATTAGCCACTATCATGACCTACTCATAAAGGTTGGACCGACCCGATGCCGATGCTAGACCATGCGGCTGAACACAAAAATCGTGCCTCCGGACTCGCGCTTCCCCTACAAGTAGTACCAAATCCATGTGCGCGTGCACGCACACGCGCGTGCGTGTACACACACACACATACACGCACGCGTGTACACGCACGCCTGCTCTGCAACCCTTCACTCGCCTGGATTAAGTGAATTCTATCAGTTGGCGACGGCAAAGGAAACCCCCCTATTGGTTTGTTGCTCAGGAGCAACAGCCCCGGGGGGACTTTGGTACTGCTCGTAGGGGAGGCGTAAAATCCATTCAGGAGATTAACCACGGAGTAACATGCCTTTAAAATTCAAATTAAACTTGATGTGAACTTGCTGAGGGAGAAAGGTGTACCAGTGTACCTGAAACACACCAATAATCCTGGAACAGTATTTGTTCAACACTTCAATCCTGGCCTTGGGCTGTAATTACATTGCTCTAGGTGTCTCCCACGCGACTGACAAGACCTATCTACGTGACACTAGGGTAATCCTGATCCAGATCGTGATCATGATCTGGTGATTTGGCTGTTTCTTCCAGACACCTATTCCGAGTGGCTGTAGCACGGGAGCGACACCCCCTCTCATACCTCACGCACTTCATGTAAAGGGTTCCATTACATGTTGAGCTATGGTGAAAGAAGTAGCCGTCATTTTTGTGATAGAGGTAGCTCCCGCAACTTTGACACAAGGTTAACGCAAAACTCTGAGCTCTGGTGTTGTGTGCACAAAAAACAAAACGAGTTACATTAGCAAGCAAAGTTCTACAGGTCACAGTTTAGTGATTTACTTTTCGACGCGTCCTAACAACAATGTTCTATCTGCAGCGTGCGGATTACGCAATGTTCTATCTGCAGAGTGCGGGTTACACAATGTTCTATCTGCAGAGTGCGGATTACACAATGTTCTATCTGCAAAACGGGGTTAGGCGCAGCCCTTAACCTTTGTGTGGTCCGCAAGTAACCGGAAGACATTAAGGCCAATCTGAGCACACGGTAAGAATCGTAGAGGTCCAATGTTTAATTATTGACTGCAAAAACTGAAGTAGAACGAGCGGTTACGGAGTAATAAGCATTCCTTTGGAGGTGTCCCGCAACCCGCGTTTTGCAGATAGAACATTGTGTAATCCGCACGCTGCAGATAGAACATTGTGTAATCCGCACTTTGCAGATAGAACATTGTGTAATCCGCACGCTGCAGATAGAACATTGTGTAATCAGCACTCTGCAGATAGAACATTGTGTAATCCGCACGCTGCAGATAGAACATTGTGTAATCAGCACTCTGCAGATAGAACATTGTGTAATCCACACGCTGCAGATAGAACATTTTTGTTAGGACGCGTCGTTTTGTAATGTGAAAAATGATATAAGCGTACCCATTCCTGTGCTCGGAAAAAATACCGTGGGATAACCTTATCTTTAACTCATTCTTAAACTGGCAAGTGAACAAAAGAAAGGAGAGGCCTCTCAGTTCTTCTTCGCACAAAAGATAGGAAATAGTTCCCGGTACCGGTTGTTGTATTGATTTTTTGTTGTTTGATTGAATTTTCAGTTGGGCTATTAGAGAATTGACAATCAACCTGATTCCAGGCATTCCATACTGATAGAAAGTGGGCTTGTTAGAAATGTCCATATTTTATTTAATATAAGCGAAAAATTTGCGTAAAGTATAAATAGTTGGCTCGTGGTGTTTATTCAGGCTATACGAATGAGGACCTTGCCCCATAGAAAAGAACAAGAAGAACAAAATAGCCGCCGCGTGGCGGAGCGTAGCGCGGTCTCACAACCGATCAGTGTTTCGGCTTCTTCTTTGTTGTTTGAGCTTGTTTAAGGACCAAATCGTGTTCTAGGTTTAATTTCCAGATATATTTGACAAAAATTTGTTAACTTTTCGCGTGATTTAAAGTTTAATCGCTAATATTCTCTGAAATCGGGGAGTTTAACCTCTTGAAAGGCGTCGTAAGTTTCCCAATCTTTCTCAATTCTCTGAAACTTAAATCTCTTTTTGTATCTCTTTTGATTTTTCCGTCAGCTGTGAGATGTCTAGAGACATTTGCACTTGAACGTACCAGTGATGAGAACGCCGTACCTCTACCTGCCCATTTGTTTTATTTCTAAAGAGGCAGAAATTTCTTGCTTGCGCTATTGGTAGAGTTTCAAAATCAGCTGGGTCCATTTCTTTCAAAACTGCAGGACACTTGACCTCCAATAACAGCTTCACAAATCCGTTGACATCCATAAGTATACCGTCTGGTCTGGGTGCCTGTCTCAATGACATCCCACTCAGCGTGTGTTTTCTTTATTTCAGGTGTGTAAGCTTTTCTCGCAGCGGGTTCCTTTTCCAGTCCTTCTCTCATTTCTTGGTTTTGGAAGGGCTCCAAGCCCTAGATGTGTTTCCTGAAAGCATTTGTCTTCCCACTTTCAGTAGACCGAGATGATTGTAGACCCAACATTGTTTTTGCTTTTGAAGCTGGAATCCTAACAGCCCTTTCAAAATAAAACTGTGTTGTCTAGTGAGGGGTAAATGCAATGGCTGTTGAAAAATTGACTGTCCCTTTACAAGGTTCAGATTCCAGATCATATAACTACACATTCCAGCAACAGTGAGGGTAGATGATAAATCTGGAAAGATCTCTACATCAATTGTTGAGGAGAGGTGCGGATGTAGGAGGTGCTAGGACCACAAGATGGAAGTTGGCAGTGACTGCAGTTGGTTCAGGAATTTTGAGAAACCAGTTTTTGTTGGGGCAAAGAAAGAGAGTAAAGGTCCTCAATTGAGGTATGAACCGTAATTGAAGGGAAAATTACAAGACTCACTAGTTAGCTGGCAAATGTTGGGATCCTAAGTCTTGCGGGTGTCTCTTCTTAAGAACATAATCAAATAATGTAGCGGGCCTTCGGCTCGCTAAAGCCCGTCGTCATTAAAATTTGCCCCTTAGACATGGGAAAGTAATGTAACGGTGACACACCGTGACTATAACCCACCCTCCTGCTTAGAAAAACTTCTTTTTTAAGGGAGGGTGGGTGGGGGTGGGGGTCCCAACTAGAGGCCTTCTCCTACAACTAAATGTTCCGTACAGCAATTTTAAGCTTATGTTCGACAAAAAAGACCCTTAAGCGCCCAAACGGTGAGATAGAGCCAAACGGACAAAATTCTAGCCCAAAGGGCTCTACTTTCACGGAGTATAGAGTCCCTGGAGGAATGGTGGCCGCTGTACGTCAAAGGACCCTGCAAATCGACCTAATGCAAAACTGCTCGGCACATCGATAGTTGGGACCAAAACAAACGTTTTGACCCGCAGAGGCAAAAAAAATTTCCCTTAGGAAAAAAAAGTTATAAGGGGTTAAAATTAACACGGCGCCTTACGGGGACTCCGGGTAGGCAACACGCGGCACACGGCCGGCCGTTTTTCGCTGTTCGCGCGGTTTTTCCGCGAAAATGGTGACTTAGAGGTATCGTATATTAACAAAAATTGGAGGAGCGGTACAGAAGAGTGTACTGAAGACTCTCGCGTTGAGATATTGTCAAAATGTTGCCTGTGAGGGCGTCTAGAAGCCAGCAAAGTCCAAACTCCCGGGCTTTGAACACAGTTGTGTTCAAAGTCGTTCAACGTCCAACCCATGCACCCAGAGTGCAGTTCTTTCGTACTAAACTGTCAAGTGAGGTGTGCTGAACACGCTCATTGTACCCATTTGGACCTCAGACCTCTGGAAATTAATTTATTGAACATTTAGTCAAGTCGCGCAGCGCTTGGCGCGCCGGCCCGCTCGAGTCCGGCCCAGCCGCTGGGCTAGCTGCAGCACCCCCGGGCCCGTACTGCTCCGAGGCTGTCTCATGCAGTTCACCCCGCTAGAAGGGTGGCTATTATAGAGTATAATGTGTGAAGCTTCTTTTATTTATTGATCTTTTCGGTCTTGGTCTAATGGAATGGGTTGATGTGGTGGGTCCAGCGTGCACGGTGCAGCGTCTCTTCTTACTGCTTTGGCGTCTTTTCTGAGAACTGCAGCATCGTACACACTAAAAGCTTGTGAACATTTTTGCTCATAGTTTACTGAGTTCTATGTACGTGCTGCGGTTACGCATTTTATAATACGCCGGTATGAACAAATTTCGAAATCGTGGGAAATACTACCTCGGACCCCATTTTTCATCCGTATTGGCGAACAGTGTATGAACAGAAATGCTCATGAGCTTTTAATGTGTAGTAATCACTGTGTTAACACTGGAAAAACAGAGGTGCTATGTAACACCTTTTAAATGTGTTAGTGTACAAATGCCTTTGTAAAGGCACTATTTTACTAACGCCTGTAGAAAGGTATTAGATAGCACCTTTGTTTTTCTAGTGAAAGTGAGTGAAA